TTTTTTTTTTTTTTTTTCTTTTCTCCTTCTGGAAATTCCACTATACTGACCTCCTGGGGCAGTCTTCTAATTTTCTTATCTTCCTTCTTCTGCTTTTTCATATCTATATCTTTCTTCTGTACACTCTACGAGATTTCCTCCCTCAACTTTATCTTTGAAATCTTCTCTTGAATATTCAATTTCTGATTTTTTAATTCAATTTCTAAAATTTCATGTCTTCCAAATTGTCATTTTCATTATTATATCCTGTTCTTGTTTCTGTAGATATCTTTCCTATCTCTCTGAGGATACAAATGGTGGTGTATGTGTGGTTTTTTGTTTGTTTGTCTTGTTTTGTTTTTCTATTTTATTTTTTTTTTAAGTTCTCTTCCCCTCTGCTTGTTCTGTTTCTTCCAAGTTGCTTTTTTGGGTTTATTTTAATTTCTGTCTTTCATGTATAAGATTGTCTGTCTGGTAATCCTTGGTTTTCTGCTCATTTTTAAAAGTGGTGACTAAAAATGTAATTGGGAGTTTCCAGAACATAGTCAGATTTTGTTCACTGTGTCACTCTAGGGCGATCTGGCTGGAGAATATGCTCCCAATCTGCCCGCTGGAAGGAGACAGGCCAGCTGCACCCTAGGGGTGGATTGAGGAGGCTGGACTGGAGGGTCTTAGTATTCCCTGTGTGTATTCACGAAATTCTCTGTTTTCAGTGTGGTCACCCTTCAAGGGCTGGAAACCTTCAGTCTAGCTACCTTCTGTTCTACCCTCTCCAGAAAATAATCCCTTCATCTTTTGCCCCAGTAAGGGTGAGGCAGTTGCCAAGTGATGTGGAGTCAGAAGGGAATGGGCGTCATGCTGCTTCCGAGTAAGGCTTACAGGCAGCCCTTCTCCAGCCAGTCCTGAAGAGCAGCCTGTGGCACTGTTTCCTGAGCACTGGGGGGCTTCTGCAGGTGTGAATTGGGGTCATGTCTAGCTCTCTCCACTGCTGGCTTACAAGTCTGCTTGCTTGGGCTTCTGCTAAGTCCTTTAACACTTATCAACTGCTTGCCAGCTTCCAGAATTTGATTTCTCTTACCTCTTTCCTCTTCACCCTTGTGGGATTATTCCTTTTTTGAAAAATCTGTTTACTGTCAGAAGTGTAGGGAGAGAGCAAAAGTAAATGTGTGTGTGTGCAAACCACTCTCGTTCTCCAGAAGCTATAGTTCTTTCAGGACAGCATTATGTTATTGCTACATTTTAGCCACTGGCACCCTGCCTCTTCCATACTCATGTCCCAGTAAAATAGCCTTTCTTAAAAATAATTCCTCAGAGCTTTTGTGACATTCAAGCCTGCAAGTTGTGCATCGCCCCACGCTTTAGCTCTAATAGCCCCCTACACTTGACTGATGGAGTTGACTTTGCTTTTATTGTTCCTTAAAGGGATTTACTAGCGTCTCATTTCACCTTATTGTTCTTAATTCTGTTATTCTTCAGTGATCTCTATTATTATTTAATGCTTATTAGGAGCCGATAATTTATTTTAAAATTGACCTATACAGAATCCCTGTTCAGTGAGCTATTGATCAAAATTAGTGGTTAGTAATTTCTGTTAATTGGCTGAATTCTCTACTCCCTGTCACGCCACCTTCATTTCATTAACATTGCAGCTCTGCTTCGAGTCATAATATAACTTGTTAAGACAAGTTAGCTGTTACCTTTTACATGTTAATACAAATGTTTCATGTATTGCTGTAATTGAACATTTTTTGGCCCTTAGCCAAAACTTTTTCTTACTCCCTCATGCAGACCGAGTGGGAAGTAAAACGTCTTGCCAACTAAGTTCTGCCTTAAGCCATTTCCTGGCTGCAGTTGATTTTTCGGTATAGCTGTATTCATTGTGGAGAGCAGTGCCATGCCCTTAGACAGTGTTTTGACTGTAGCATTTGCAAGATGGAAGTCCAGCAGACAGTGTCAGGAAGGGATGAGAAGGGCCTGTGTGCTGGGGACTCCTACCAGTAGGTGCTGAAGTGGCGTTAAACTCAAGTCTGACTTTCGGATTGTGCTTAATAAACCCTTCAAAGTAAGAATATCCTTCCTTCAGCCTTATCCCATTTCAACTAGTGTGACAGATCCCAAAGTTAGCATGTGACTAGCATAGCAATCAGAGAGCCTCGGTAGTGGACGTTCACAGTGAAGCATAAAAGCCAGCTTATACAATCCATTGCCATACACAGGAATCAAATGCTTCCCTGTTGAGGTGAGGGTAGACCATCAACCTTACAGGCTAAAGCCAGAGTGGGCAACCTCTGGCCTGTGGGCCAAATCCCACCTAGAACCTGTTTTTCTACTGTCCTGGAGGGAAGGATGAATTTTACCATTTTAAAGAGATATAAAAAAGAAAAGGAAGAATATGCAGCAGAGACCATATGTGGTCCATAAAACCTAAAATATTTATCATTTGCCTCTTTTTAGAAAGCTTGCCAACAACCCTTGGTCTAAAGACACTAATGGCTTTGCCTCATTTCTTTCCTGTCCCACATACTCTGCTCCCCAACTGGGGAAGGCTCTCCAAGTCTTTATTATGACCTTATTAACTTAAATGTGTGTGTGTGTGTGTGTGTGTGTGTAATTTCAAAAAAAAATTAATTATAAATAGATTAGAATCACCAGTTCTCAAGTATGACATCTGAGGAGATTTACCAATATGAAGGACAGTGCTATTAGGACAGGTATTCATAAATCAGTATGAGCCATCATAGATTAAATACCTAGCTATAAATGAAAAGAACCATTAGCCAGATTGTGAATAATGTTTCTGTTAACCCTTTTGCTGTAGTTGGAGATACTGTCTTGAACATATCTACTGAACTTTTCCTCTTTGTGAAGTACAAAATGTGAACAAAAAAAAGTTTAAAACATGCTTATGAAATACAAATATCCTTTCATTTACTGAAAGCCTAACCTTAAAAAATTAACTTTAGAATTAGATAGATAGTTTTTTATTGTGATAAATATGTATGTAAGAAAACATTGGCCAATTCAACATGTTTTATATGCACAATTTTAGATGAGCAATTTTTTTTTAAGTTATGACTCAACCTATTATTCTCCCTTAGTGTGCATATTAACCAAGATTTGGTCTTTGTTCATAAGAGATGTACAAGGGTCATCACCACTTTCGGCTGTCTCATTTTACAACATTTTCAATCTCCATATTCCAAAAGGCCCACATACCATTTCCAAGTGAATTTTCCAAAAACTTTCCAAAACTTCAATTCTGATCCAGCCATTCCCTTGCTTTAAAATCCTCAGTGGTTCCTCATTAACTGTGAAATCAGTCTAATCATAATAAGAAATTAAACCAAATAAGTAAATTATACTCATTTTTGAGCTAGTTAATTAACTAATATAAAAGTCATGAAAAATGACCTGTTTTACAGCTTTATGTTGTTCAGCATACAATGATGCTACTGTTCTCTCTGGATGGGGGTGTTTTTCACATTTGCCTGAAGCCTACCAGCAAATCCCCATTACACCAGAGACCCCTGCAGTGATGAGGTATTGCCCCTCTGCCACCCAGAAGGGGACTGAGGACTGGCCAACCAGAAGTGATGCTGTGAGGCCAGTTCATGACTCTAATGCCCAACCTACATCCAAAATATCAGTTATGTGCCCTTCTAATACAAATATTATGAAATACAAATATCCTGTCATTTACTGAAAACCTAACCAAAGAAAAGTTTCCACCTTAAAAAATTAACTTTAGAATTAGATAGGTAATTTTTTATTGTGATAAATATATATGTAACAAAACACCTGTGAATCACATAATCAAGTAACTTCATTTAACGTTCTATTTTTTCATTTGTCCCCACTCTGACTCTGACCCATGGGGCACAGAGAATTTTTCTGTGCACATAGGGTTTGTTTCCACCTGGTAAAACAGACTCGTTCTGAGGATAAGCATTGAAGTCAAACATAAGTCATACTTTTATTTCTTTCTTTGCTGAAAGGTTTCATTTGTACAAATAAATAATCCAAATTATATCATATTTTTTGTCGTTTGGATGTTAGAATGTAGAAATCCAGAGGTCATCATTCAGCCAGTGGCTTCATTTATACAAAATGAGAGCCTCAACTGGGTCAAGTGCAGCCTCAGCGAGGAGCTGGTCTGGAAGCCCCTGAGCTCTCCCTACATGGAGCTCAGCGTGGACCAAGGTGGCCGTGGTGAGGAGCCTCACTGTTGCAGAGGGCAGCTCTTTAGGGGAGGGAACTCAGGTCCAAATAACACTGCGGCCAACACAGAGGAGGTTACAGTAGACTGTGCTGATGTACTCTCTCAGAAGGAAGAGAACCAATTAGTTCTGCACCTTTGGGAGGTTTAATCAGCTGAGATTTATTAATGAGGCCCACAGCTGACTGGGGTAGAGCAGGATAACTTAAATATAATACAGGGACAAATAGAATGGTTAATGAGGTTGTTAAACTTACTCCAAAATAGGAAACACTGAATTGACACTAAATATCCCTAAAACTACTAAAGGAAGAGAAAAAATAAAAAGGAGGGGACAGAAGACATTAATTAATTCATAATAATGGACTTTATCAAGAATAGTATAAACAGGTTCAAAATCTTCAAAATCCCTAAAAGTTGTTCAATCCCTTTCTCTGGGAATCTAATCTGTTCATTTCTGTAGTCTCATTTCTGAACTCATTGTGATTTTCTTCAAAAATTAAAAAAAAAAAAAACCTACCCTTTCAAAGCAGATTGAGAGAAGCTTTGGGAGTCACTGCTGCTCTATCCTTGCTCACTGGCAGCCTGTGCTCCTGTTGGTGATGCCTTCCTCACTCCTGCAGGGAGAAAGCTAACGTGCCTGAGCAATTAGGAGCTGATTGTTTATCTTCTTTACAGGTGGGAAGGAAAGAATGAAAATGAAGTGGGCAGATGTAAAGAGACCGGCAAGATCCACGTGACTGTAGATCTCAAATACTACCGACCCACCGAAGTGGTAAGCAGCCTCTCCCACCACATCACCAGTCACAGGCCAGGGCCTGCTTCATCAGCTGGCCAGCTGCAAGATGGGCGTTGAATGCCAGCTGCCAGCCTTCAGAGCTCCCATTCAGCTCACTGCATTCTTCAGCAGACATTTCCCACACCAGAACACAGTGAAGTGAACTGGGGGTATTATTCTTACCATAAAAGCCATTGCTCTGTAAAGGAAAATGAGTAAAACACACCCAAGGAAATAGTTGATTTCAGAACTGGAGATTCATGTCAAAGGCAGATCTAATCATGTTGGTCTCCTGTTTTGATGTGTATCTTACATGGCCTTCCATGACTCGTAGGATCTCCGTGACCTGGCGGGCCTGTCCACCTCTCCAGCTCACACACACATGCACACTCACACCTAAGCCGTAGCCATCTCCCAAATACATCAGGATGTTTCCTGCTCACGCTGTAACTTCTGTGTGCAATGCCCTTCTACTCCACACCTCTCCTGCTCTGCACCCACGGGCCTGGCACCACCTATTCATTTTTTAAGACTCAGCTAAGGTGCCACCTGGCTCTGAAACCTTTCCTGATCAATATACTACCCACTAGCACTGAAATTTCTGCTCCTTCCTCAGTATCTACTTGTATGCTATACATAATTATAACACCTGCTATAAATTATTATATTGTTATATATAACATTTATATTATTATGCTATATTATTTTTACCAACTGTGAACTCCTTGAGGATAGGGACTTTTTTTTTTAATATCATAGGTTATAACAACCAAAACCAAAACCCATTGTCACCGAATCGATTCCAACTCTTAGCAAGTAGGTGCTAATAAATATTGCACAGATTGATGAGTGGGTAGACAAATGGTTAGATAAATTTTTAAACACAGAAATTCCTGTATTAAGAAATGTTCTGTAGATGGTTAAAATGTAACATCCTGCTTTCCTAAATTTATAAAAAATTCTAGTTTGGTGGTGTAGCTGTAATGTGGTCTGCCCTCACTACAGTGACAGAACTTAACATAGTAAGTATACCAGAGGTTACTAGAAAGTAGCAACCTCAGAGAGAAATGTTCAGAGGTGACGGTTATCCAATGAAATGCATACTAACTGTGAAAATAGAATCTTTCTGCAACTGTTACCTGTGTCTTGAACGTGTTCATATTTGTAGTACAACCTTTCAGAGACTGGAAAAATCCCAATGAGGAGAGATTGAAGGTGAATGTAAGGCACCATCAGCCACCCTGTAAAATGTCTCATTTCAAACAACAGAAATTTTGTTTAGTGCACTCTTACACGTAAGAGGAGTAAAGAGGAAAGGAAACAAGCAGTGCTTGGGAGACAGGGGTGTAGTCCTTGCATTGTCCTGGCCGAGGGAGTGGCCCAGGTCTTTGACAACAGTGACCCATTGTTCCCTGTGCTCCTGGGGAGCGGGTGTGCCGGGGTAGGTTTGCTCTGCCCTGGGAGGGAGATACCAGCGCCACTTCTGCTGATGCAGCCCCTGGCCCGCTGGCATCAGTTGCCCTGTTGTAAGGAGGTGTAGCTTTTCTGGAACATTGCACAGATCACTAGGCAGCCGCACAGATCACTAGGCAGCCACACAGATAGGGCAAATGCGTTTCTGTGCTCACAAATAAAAGTGGTCATCTCAAAATGGAAAATTTAGTGAGCCAACAGAAATCCCTGTGCCTACAACAATTTAAACATGGCTCTCTCTCTGTCTCTCTCTTTGAGAGTTTACAGTTTCAAAAACTAGGAAGTCATTAAGAATGACTTGTCTGTCATTCTTACTTAAGCAAGATGTGGGATTGATAAGGACACAGAACCCAAGAATTTGCTGAACAGGAAAGTACTCTTAGACTGAAAGCCTGTGTTCTTGAAGTCTGTATTGGCCTTCTTTCCTCCCGTGGCACTGCCTCCCTCCCAATGTTTTTCATTCAGATGTTACCATCGCACCTACACATCTGTCCACACAAACATTGTTTAAACCCAAGAGTGCTGCCCTGTTTCTTATGCTGGTTTATCTTCCACCGACCTGACTCGCCCTGTGGGTTCACTATGCTGCTTGGTGTATTTTGACCTGCATTTCATCTTCCTAAGCCTCTAAACCAGAGAAAACCCAAACCCATTGCCGTCAAGTCGATTCTGACTCATAGTGACCCTATAGGACAGAGTAGAGCTGCCGCATAGGGTTTCCAAGGAGCAGCTGGTGGATTCGAACTGCCAACCTTTTGGTTAGCAGCTGAGCTCTTAATCACTGCATCACCAGGGCTCCTCCTAATCCTCTAGGCTGCATTAATTTTCTTCACTCCACTTCAATTTACTGTTCCACTGGACGAGATTTTCATGTATACTGAGAATAAATTTTTAACCTTATCTCTTAGAACAACAAGTTTTCCTAATACTTGGATCAACTTAATAGCCTTATACTGAAACACCTTTGAGGTGATAACATTCTTGCAGTGGAAAGGTGGCCGGAACTGAAGCCTGCTTTGAAAGGAGCTTTCACCTGGGTGTGGGGGCAGCCATAACCAGCAGTACCTAGAGACTGATTCTGCAGGAGTCCTGGAAATCACCGGCTTGAGGTTTATCAGCACTTAAGGAGGGTAGGCATGGACTTCTTCCATGTCTCAGTCTTCCATATGTGAGTCTTATTGTCTAAGTCCATCTTCTACATGCAGCGGCTTTTTTCATTCTTCCTAAGAGTCTGTAAAGGTTTGTTTCCTGATCAGCAGTCATCTGCCTCCCAAGATCTCCAGCATATAGGGACACTACTGAGCCAAAGCATAAACTAGTTCTTCTTAGAGCCAGATGGTTCCAGAATGACTGATAATGAAAAAAATACCGTAAAAAAAATCTGGGGAAAAAATTAGTGAGGATATATTAGGTCTCAGAACACAAATATCCTAAAACAAGACTAAAGGGAAATAGAACTTTATGTTGTCTTCTGAGCAAGAAAGACTACGACTGGTCATAAGGAAGACTCTTTCTCAGCAAAGACCGGCACTAGCCTAAAAGAGGCTACCTGTGATCCTATGTAAAGTGTATGTCAGCCTTGTGTGTACAATTGTTTCCCTCATTGTATTAGCCACCATAAACCTTGAATCTTGCTTCTGAACCATCATGAAAAGTCTTGACAAGCCAACATGAAAAGTTCTGAGCTAAGGACTCCAGCATTCAATTAGAGCTGAATTAAGCGACATTTTTTGGTTATCTACCTATTATTCCCTGGGCTTCCTTTGAAAGTTTAGGAATTTTGCTACTGTGGAAGAGAAGAGCTTGTCCCTGGAAATGAGACTTTAAATTTCCCATTGCCCTGAATTCCAAGATATGACCATGCAATGTTAATACTTGAATTCTGTGTCTCTTAAAACATCTGTCTTGGGTACAGTTGTATATGTGTGCATATGTTTGCAAACAGATTCATTCCATTTTTCATTCATTCATGGAGAGAAATAGTGTTGTGTTTGAGAGTGTGGACCCTATGGCCAGGCTGCCTGATTCAAAAACTGTTACTAGCTGTGTGGCCTGAGGTAAGTTACTTCTCAGTGCCTTTGTTAAAAATGGGTTTAATAATAGAACTTCTTTCAAAGAATTGTTGGAGAATTAATGGAGTCAGTGTATACAAAGTGCATACCTTGGCACAAGGTGTTGTTAGTTGCTGTCAAGTCAACTCCGACCAGGGCTTGGGAACTGGTTAGTTCAGGTTGGAACCCCTGCTGAGAATTTGCATTTCTTACAAGTTCCCAGGCAACGCTAATGCTGCTGGTTACAGATCAATTCTGAGAACCACAGTGGTTCTCAAAATTTATTATACATAAGAATCACCTGAAGATCTTGTTACACTGTAGATTCTGACTCAGTATATCTGGGGTGGAAATGCAAGTTCTAATCAGGGTTTCCATCCGGAACGAACCAGTTCAAAGCCCTGACTCCTTCATGACGACCTTATGAATAACAGAAAAAAACATTGCTATGGCCTGCACCATCTTTTTGATTGTTGGCATGTTTGAGTCCACACAGTAAATACTCAGTATTGTTGCTGTTGTTATTATTTATTTATTTGTTCACTCACCAAATGTCATCACACACTATGCCAGGCCCTGAGAATACTAGTGATGAACACGACAGACGTGGCCCCTTCCTGTGGAGAAAGTATCTATCAGTTACTTGAATCTAGTACTTTTGAAAAGTAAAATGGCATCATTAGTGATTTGCACAAATTAACAGGTAATAAAAGGATGACAAGGTATAATCAAGGCTTCTAACAGACATGAATATGTGCTTTGATATTTTTTTTTTTTTTGCTTGCTTTATCTTGGTTTTCATCCTTTCTGATCCTCTTTCTGAAAGTTGTGATAGCTATTCAGTGGTATGGAAATATCATGTAAATTTGAAAAATTTAATATCGACCTATTAATTAAAAATAACAACAAAGATTTTTTTTTTTTTATTTGAGAATTTTTAACTTGGAAAATTAACTGGGGCAGTTTAATGAAGTATTTGTCCTAATGTGCCAAATAGTTAACCACATCAAATGGTCAATCTACTAAAAAAAGAAGCTAAGTTTTTGTTGTTGTTTTTAGTGAAGAAAAAAGTCCTTTTGTCTGTAGAGCACTTTATGTAATGGGATAAGGGACACATTCACAGACCAAAATTAAAATCAAATATTTTCATGAAAAATATTTTGACTTAAACTTTACTAATATGAACTGAGTTTTCTCCTTGCTATGCCATTTGTCTTGAACACTGATTTTTCTTGCCATCAGATTTCTAATGTGCTTCAGTTGTTACCAGTGTTTGTTTTATTTACTTAGATATCTTAAATCTCTACAGATATTAGAAAAAATCACAGGTTACAGTCTAGAACTGAGAAAGCAATACTTCAAAGAAGCCCAACAAGCTACTTAAAACAACATCTTCCTCCAGTAAAAACATGTGGCCTATTTTTAATCCAGTTGCAATATGCTTGTCGAGTCATTACCCCCACCCCCCACAAA